CAGCCAAGCACAGCAGTCCATATGCCCTGCCAACAGAAGATGATGATCTTGATTATTTTAGTGGCAGATCTCAAAATGATTACACAGTTTTGGGCAAGCTTTATGGGTATTTATCATTTCATATATTGTTTATTTATTAATTATTTATTAATTAATATTATAAATATTTTATATATTATTATTATTATTATTATTTTCTCGGTTGGCTTCTATTGTTTCTGTGTAAAGTGCATAGGGGCAAAGTGTGTTATTATGTTATTAAAATTTATTAAAATTATTATTATTACTATTATTCTATTGTTATTAATATTATTATTATTATTTGTATTATTATTTTTTTATTACTTTATTATTATTATTATTATTTTTTTTTTTTCCTCAGTTGGCCTGTATTATTTCTTTTTGTAAAGTGCATAGTTCACCTGTCTCTTATACACATCTAGATGTGTATAAGAGACAGATAAAGTATAAATAAAAGCGAGAGTATTCCAGTGGATGCGATCTACAACCTCTGAATTTGCCTAGTAACGATGAATTCGTCGAAAAAATGGTAATATTTTATGAGAAATAGTCTGTATTTCTCATTTTTTTAATTCTTTTGCGTAAAACTAAAAGTCATGCCAATATTTTTCCATGATTTATAAAAATTGGAGTAATGCAAATGCATATTTTCTATAAAAAAAAGTAAGTTTTTAGTGACATTTTGCCGGGAATGGGGCCTTATGATTAATAATGTAGAAATTTAACGGATAGGCCTATTTAAGTTTAAGTATCTTGGTGTCTGGATAGATGAGAATCTAAGTTGGAATCCCAACTCAAGTAAACTGTATGTAAAGGCAAATCAACGCCTGTTCTTTCTAAAGAAACTTAGTTATTTTATTGGTGGTAAAATGACTCATATCTTTTTTATCAAAGTGTTATACAATCAGTGCTTACTTTTTGTAATAATAGTGTGAATGACCGGACTGACCAAGAAAAATCTTGGCAAACTTACCAGGATTACACGAGTTGCTAGTAAGACAATTGGTATAGATGTTAAGGATAGGATTCAATTATGTAATGTTGCCATGGTAAACAAACCCCGAGGAATAGTTAATGATGCAACACATCCTCTAAACAGTGGTATAACATTCAGTAGATCAGGCAAAATAATTCAATTTAGAGTAAAAACAGACAGACACAGAAATTCATTCCTACCTAGTGCTATTAGGCTATATAATGAGGAATTTGTTAGGTAGTGTCTGTCTGTGAGAAATGACTTTATAATTTTATTGTTGTTAATATTGTTTGAGATACGTGTATATTACCCTGGAAGTAATTTCATGTACAATTGATATATGACGAATAAAGATGAATATGAATTTGAATCTTATAGGCTTAAACTATGATTGCATCATTTCTTCATTTACTTGAGCACTGTCCTATTTTCATTTGCAGAGTGCTACGCAACATTTCTTATATGCAGAATGAAATTATCTCCTCCTTGAATCATACTCACCCTCATTGATTGGAAGAAGCTGGAAAAGAAAGGAAAATGTGTAGAAAAGTTGTAGTTGAAGTCTTGAGAGACGGCGGTAATTTGATGCACTTCGCATTTTTCTGCTTCCAACAATTCTATAATATTTTAATAAACATTATGTTTAAAATAATAATTCAACAATAATATACATTATATAATATATTAGTGGACTTCACACGAGCGTTCATATATTATCGTACGTTCATTGTGCACTTATGCACAGTATTTGTCTCTAACATTCGGGCTTCGGCACCTTGTACCCCAACCTGGTATAATACACCCATGGACTTCACTTGTGTTATAACCCCCAGACCTCCTCAAAAAGTAAACACCTCCTTTGTTGCACCAATATGCGCTGCTCCTATGTAATCACACTTTTTTAAATCTAAATGTTATGGTTAATCCATTAGTTTTGCGTCATACTGCTGACAGGCAGACAAGCAAACAAACAACTAAACTATGATTTCCAAAAGCAAACGATTATAACCAATGTTTCTATTCCATAAGATGTCTTCAAATCAATCCTGGGCTTAATTAGTGTCGAAAACAGATTTAAATACCTTGCTATATCATTTGTGGCTAAATGCTTTTACAAAAAGTATGACCTTAATATAAATAATATAATTAAATTAAATAACAGACACATTGATCACATACAATTCCTCCACACTCGCTTTGAGGATAATTCTCGTCATTTGAAACTGTAAATAGAGTTATATTAGGTATTACGTTCTAGGTCCGTTTTTGTTTTCATGGTTGTTAAGCGCTGCCCCACAAATACTAAATAAATAATAAGTAATGTATCACATTTTTAGTGCATTTCCTCGTTGGTGGGAGAACCTACCAGTTTATGTTAGTCTATGGTAAAGACGAGTTCGTGATTACCTTTCATATTTTCCCTATTTACTTAAACGCTCATTCAAGTAGTTTGTTATCGATGTAAGGGTATAATATATGATGCTAAAAGTAACGAGAAGTTGCAGGTTCGAGTCCCGCTGGAAGATATTTTTTTTCGTTGAAAAGGCATTAATATATATATATATATATATATACATATAGTTTATTTTGTCATTCTGATAGGATTTTCTCTACTGTTCCGTTTTAATTTTTAATCGTTTTGCATTATATGGCTGTTTGCTGTTTCATGGGTTTTTTCCCATTTGCCTTTCAAACTAACAGCAAGTAATCCACCAATTGCAGGATGGACGATGCTTAATAAACTAAGTGCTTATTAAAGTGGAGAAAAGTCCTGCTGTCAGGAATTGAACCCAACATCCTGGATTAGAATTAGGCCAGCAACTTCACTCCACTTTTCAAATAACTATTAAGAAACACTTTTTTGAGCTTTCTATATTATTCATACATAAACTCCTCTCTTCATGTTTAATATATAGCTTTGTGGTACGAAATCTGTTGAAGATCTATAAGCTCCGGTGATTGCAAACTGATCCATTATGAACAAACAAAATGTCATAAATGTAGACTAAAAATTGACTTAACACTTTACTCCTTCAGGTTGCTAAATTCAAAATAGAATTTTCACGAATTATTATTTTTTTTTTTTAAAAACATGACATAGGCCTACATTAATTTTCACGAATTAGAGGTTTTTGAAAATGCTTCCTTTTTAGAGCTTTTGGAGGCTTTTACCCCGGACCTCACCAGGGTTCTGCCCCTGGACTCCGCCAGGTCCCCAGACAACACTCTCCAGTCTAAGGCTCACGAACCCCCCCCCCCTCCACCACCACCACTATTGAAAATCATGTCTACGGTTGTCTCTCTATGACAACCAAACAATTACTAAGATACTCGTATCGAATACATTAAGTTTAGATTAAAGTTAATTTAATTGTTAATCTGAGCCATTTTATTGGCAATAGGAAAATTTGAAGAGTTTACCTTTGGCAACAGCATTGATCACTAGGAGACACAGTAATAAAACAATCCCTTTCTTTAAAATATACATCATTTATTTGATATAATCAGTGCATATACTGCGGTGTTACATGAGTATATATGCGATAGAATATAAGATTTATATATTACCACAGCCGGTCAAAGTACAGGTATCGGCGTAATGGTAAATAGTTTCGCACATAATAATCTATAGTTGATAACAGAGATATAATAATAAAGTGATAACGTTGTGGTACCAGAGTATTCGATTCAACATAGAGAGAGCGCTGTTACTTTGATTTATATTTAATTCAGAATTAAATTACCTTTTCGCATTTAAGAGCCCAGACCGCTTTTGTTTTTTTTTTAAATTAAGGTTGATATTATAAATATTATATATTCATTCATAAAAAAGATATTCATTTATAACAGCACCTGATATTATATTCACCTCATCCAGAAATTTAGATTTGTCTTTTCATGTGACTTTAGAATATGTAAACGAACAAAACAAATTTTATTCAATATTAATTATTCATATAATACCTGATTCAAATCAAGTTGTTGATTTTGCTAACAAACTTCCTCCCAACACCAGAAATAGTTATTGCAAGAAACGTTTCACAAAAATATAAAGATATATTATCTAAATTATGATAAAAACAATGAATTATCACACATTGTTTAATGCATTTTTATTTAATTTATTTCCTTTTTGATATGAAAGTTAAATATCTGAGGGTAGGAGTAACAGTAATCAGAGATCATCATAATCAGCAAAATAGCCCATTTGAAGCTTTTGGAGAGTTAATCGAACTTAACAACTGACCAATCAGAATGTGTTATTTAGAGTCCCACAAACAGTTAAGTTACACAAACACTATCATGTTGTGGTCATTTTTAGCAACAATACAAAGGGCGGGGTTTAACGAAAAGGTTACTTTGATTGATTGAAACAAATTTATAATGTAATACACAGCAAATACACAGCAATTAGGCCAAAAAAAAACATATGTTGTGTTGCCCTCCACGACCACGAAATGTTCCATAAATCGGGTCGGTATTTTTTTTTTCCCCTTTTTTAATTTTGTTCAAGTACAAATTCGAGAAATACCACTGCCAAAATTAACATTAAGAACATAAAATCTAAAAGAGACATGTATATTTGTCAAAATCAGGCCATAGATGCACGCGTAAAATAAGCCATAATTTGGAGAAACGAATGTGCGACGATAATTATGCACGCAACATTGAATCTCGCGCTGAGATGTCAAGCCATGACCAGATCTAGGCCTAGCCTATTCTTTACTACAGTATAGCTAGTGGTTACTTGGAATAAACAATAGTATTCATTACATAACGGTATATTGGACCATAGAGAAAATAGAACATTTTCTATTTTCTCTATAATTGGACAATAAATAAAAACAGACTTAGGTCTAGCCATCGCTTTAAAGCCGGTACATAGCTAAACTTAGGCTCCATTTACGGTTTAAGGTCAAGCATGAACGTAATATTTTTATTTTTTATTCGATTGTGTTACATAGAGGGCGCTTGTTTGGACATTGTTCATAGCCATAGTATGGTTTTGCTCGACCTGCCAGTGCGTCATCGTGTGGATAGGATACACTTGTTGCTTTACGTTTCGAAGCCAAATAAAAAATTCAACGATGATCTCGATTTTTTCCATTTAAGGGCAACACAGCAATTTTTTTTTCCTTAGTGAGGCTGCACTCCAACCTTCATTAAAGACAGGCAACAGTGGTTTTATTAAGTTTTTATTGCAATAATGGTATACATGTCTTTCATAAAATACATTGCGTAATATTATAGCATTTCACTTACTTCGTAATAACACGAAATGTATACAACATAACATTACTTTAAACGTTGCAGTACAAAAAACGAATAAGCCTAAACAGTACACAAAATTAACCTTATACGTCTAACAGTGGCGGCGCTAGCAGGTGGGGGGCTTAAGCCCCCATCGGTCTAATCAAGGCCCCCACCCCAAAATCGGCCAAAGCTCGTCGGGCAGTCGGACCAAAAAAAAAATAGACCTAGTTTTCCCATCCCAGCCATTTCCGGCCATCTACAAGTCCCATTTTTTTTTTTAATCTAGTTTTGGGAGAAGGGGACTCCCCCTCCCATACCCACCCTGGCTCGGGCCTTCGGCACTGAGATAACACTGCGTGCTATAGTTACACCCATAAATACTTATCTCCCCCCCCCAGTCAGACATCTTAGCCCCCCTCCCATAAATTATATCCTAGAGCCGCCACTGATATCTAATTTAAAAAAAATAAAAACAACATCTACAATTTATATTTCAGTACTTCCTTGCATTGGCCTACTGTGTAAGATCTCAAAGATGTTGATAACAAAAACAAACTTTATACACTTCATAGACAACAAACTTTACAAACACAATACCACTTACAAACTGATCCATATTTGAACAGTTATTGTTGAAACTACTTAAGCTAGAGCTAATCATCTGTATATTGGGCTCCAGCATTTGATAAAAACTATAGTTTGATCAGAAAGTTGCAGTGGATAAGCAGTTTTTGGAAGGTCTGACAAAACTATGTATATTGATATATAGGCATATATTTATTGATTTGATAAAATCTTTTAGAACCTAGAACAAATATGAATAGACACGAACAGACATTGAAGTTTGTATTATGGGACATTTCCATAGTTACACAAAAGGTCCAGCAATACGCGCAAGTATTAAAAATATTATGCTTTTAAGTTTACACTGGACCTTAGTAATAATATTTAAAGTGGGTGGCTTAGTGGAAAGTCCATTAAAATGATCAAATAAGTTATCAAATTTCAGTTGAGTTTATTTCTATATAAAATAACAATAATGTACATTAAATTCTTTTACAAATTCTACAGAACTGTATAGCCCCAAGAAATGCTGTTAACAAATACAAAATTCACATGACAAAATAAGAAAATATACCTAATAATACATTTTAAATAGTTAAATATATTTGACTCCCAAATGTTTTGGGTGCTTATGGGAAATTACAAATTTCGACATCAAAATTATAGATGATGTAATATTTACTTAGACACAATCGAGCCTACAAAATGTTTACTCCATGAGTAAACTGAATACGAAAAATAAGGGCATTCTTAAAAGATGATCTGCTTTAAATCTACTCAGCTTCAAAAAATAATAAACACAAGGGTTTATAAGGGGCCAAATAGCCCTATCTATACCGTGCCAGATATTTCTTTCTTTTTTTTTTGTATATCTTGGTAATCAGAACGAGGTGTACATCTTGGAAATCGACAAATTTCAGCTTCGTACGTTACACTGTAATGTAATATTTTGCAAAATAAGCTTTAATATACAGACTATAAGGCAATGTAGACGTAAACAATATACATTCCCAACTAACAATATTACGTTATAAGAACGTTACAATAACGTTACAGTTTGGTGATAAAAAAGCTTATTTTGTAGAACCATATGTACGTACTTATAACCTAATTTCACTTTCCAACTGAGCCCCTTTCATATGTGGCGCTATACGATGTCTGTATTACGTAAACAAGATGGCTGTGACTGTTATACAGAGTCTACGCCATCAGCTCTACTCGCACTTCAGTGAACATTTTCTCAGATAATAAGGACTATAAAACGTAGTCCCACCCAGTGTACACAATTTTGATTCTGTGCATCTTTCGAGACGAGTAGGGGTTATTACCCCGGTGTACTAATCCATTCAGCCCCTGTCGTAGACAGACGAGAAGTACCGGTTTACCGGGTAGCTCAGAATCAGAATAACTTTATTTTCTCCAAATGAAGAAATTGAATGCTCGATAAAACTTAAAACCTTGCATATAAAATTACATTCAAATATAAATACAAAAAGTACATCACACTAATTCAAAACATCAGATACAAAAAACGTTGAAATACTAAAACATCAAAAATCGAACACAAAAAAGAATGGAAAGACCTTAAAAATACATTCAGAATAAAATATGATACAACACTACAGTATACATTACTTAAATAAGTAATGGAAAGCTGCATATTTTTATTATTATTATTATTATTATTATTATTATTATTATTATTATTATTATTACTACAATTCTTATTGCCATTTCTATCAACGCTTAATATACAGTATCGATCATATCCATACCGAATATTAAGCATAGGATCTATACTGAATATTAAGTATAGATCCCATTCATATCGAACGCTCAGTATAGATCGTATCTACAATAGTTCGTATTAAAGTGTTTAATGCCAATAGGGAAAAAGGAGTGAAGATGACGACTTGTGCGAACGTTGGGCAAACGCATCCTACCACTTCTAGGTATGATAGAACTAATCAACTTCTCATGAAGTGGGTCAGTTTCATCATCTAGTATGGATGTGAATAACATCTTCAAGTCTTTATGAGTCAAGATAATCTAGACACGTATCAGTATTTTTTTCCGGTCGTTTTCATTATGCCGAAAGCCTGTCTCTTATACAAATCTAGATGTGTATAAGAGACAGCTACTGTGTAGGATCTCAAAGATGTTGATAACAAAAACAAACTTTATACACTTCATAGACAACAAACTTTACAAACACGATACCACTTACAAACTGATTCATATTTGAACAGTTATTGTTGAAACTACTTAAGCTAGAGCTAATCATCTGCTGGGCTCCAGCTTTTAAGTTTACACTGGACCTTAGAAATAATATTTAAAGTGGGTGGCTTAGTGGAAAGTCCATTAAAATGATCAAATAAGTTATCAAATTTCAGTTGAGTTTATTTCTATATAAAATAACAATAATGTACATTAAATTCTTTTACAAATCATACAGAACTGTATAGCCCCAAGAAATGCTGTTAACAAATACACAATTCACATGACAAAATAAGAAAATATGCCTAATAATACATTTTAAATAGTTAAATATAAGTCTTATATTTTGACTCCCAAATGTTTTGGGTGCTTATGGGAAATTACAAATTTCGACATCAAAATTATAGATGATGTAATATTTACTTAGACACAATCGAGCCTACAAAATGTTTACTCCATGAGTAAACTGAATTCTTAAAAGATGATCTGCTTTAAATCTACTCAGCTTCAAAAAATAATAAACACAGGGGTTTATAAGGGGCCAAATAGCCCTATCTATACCGTGCCAGATATTTCTTTCTTTTACTTTTGTATATCTTGGTAAATCAGAACGAGGTGTACATCTTGGAAATCGTTAAATTTCAGCTTCGTGCGTTACACTCTAATGTTATATTTTGCAAAATAAGCTTTAATATACAGACTATAAGGCAATGTAAACGTAAACAATATACATTCCCAGCTAACAATATTACGTTATAAGAACGTTACAATAAAGTTACAGTTTGGTGATAAAAACGCTTATTTTGTAGAACCATATGTACGTACTTATAACCTAATTTCACTTTCCAACTGAGCCCCTTTCATATGTGGCGCTATACGATGTCTTTATTACGTAAACAAGATGGCTGTGACTGTTATACCGAGTCTACGTCATCAGCTCTACTCGCACTTCAGTGAACAACTTCTCAGATAATAAGGACTATAAACCGTAGTCCCACCCAGTGTACACAATTTTGGTCCTGTGCATCTTTCGAGACGAGTAGGGGTTATTACCCCGGTGTACTAGTCCATTCAGCCCCTGTCGTAGACAGACGAGAAGTACCGGTTTACCGGGTAGCTCAGAATCAGAATAACTTTATTTTCTCCAAATGAAGAAATTGAATGCTCGATAAAACTTAAAACCTTGCATATAAAATTACATTCAAATATAAATACAAAAAGTACATCACACTAATTCAAAACATCAGATACAAAAAACGTTGAAATACTAAAACATCAAAAATCGAACACAAAAAAGAATGGAAAGACCTTAAAAATACATTCAGAATAAAATATGATACAACACTACAGTATACATTACTTAAATAAGTAATGGAAAGCTGCATATTTTTATTATTATTATTATTATTATTATTATTATTATTATTATTATTATTATTACTACAATTCTTATTGCCATTTCTATCAACGCTTAATATACAGTATCGATCATATCCATACCGAATATTAAGCATAGGATCTATACTGAATATTAAGTATAGATCCCATTCATATCGAACGCTCAGTATAGATCGTATCTACAATAGTTCGTATTAAAGTGTTTAATGCCAATAGGGAAAAAGGAGTGAAGATGACGACTTGTGCGAACGTTGGGCAAACGCATCCTACCACTTCTAGGTATGATAGAACTAATCAACTTCTCATGAAGTGGGTCAGTTTCATCATCTAGTATGGATGTGAATAACATCTTCAAGTCTTTATGAGTCAAGATAATCTAGACACGTATCAGTATTTTTTTCCGGTTTTCTTTGTTAACCGATCAATCCTCCCAATTTCTTTCTTCGAAGCATTACCTCCCCAGGATGTTAAACAATAAGCCAAGACACCGCAAATCACTGATAGAACATAGGCTTAATGCTAATATCACTTCTAGCGTTAAACTCTTTCATTTTACGAAGGCAATACATACCGTACGAGAGTTAAGTTTTTTCATCAATTTATCAATCTGATCTTCCCATTTGAGTTTGTCATCGAAGACGACCCCAGGATATTTATAAGTAGACACTTTTTCAACACATATAATTAATAACAACATTATCAATATTTGTTATATTTTTACAAAAGTCAATAACAATTTCTTTGGTTTTCATATTAAGTATGAGATAATTGTCATCACAGTACTTAAAAGAAGTAATTTCAGCCATATGATGGCTGTCATCATCTTTCTTAATAAGACCAAGTAATGCAGTATCATCAGCAAACTCTACTGGAACATCTGTGTGAGTACATTAAAAGTCAGATGTATATAACTTGAGGTACACCAGTATGAGTAACAATGTGTCTAGACTTGACCTCGTCATTTGACTTCAGAAACTCAGACACGAAGAGACCCTTAGCAGAGAAGCAAGTTACTGTAAGAGCTCGTCCACACCTCAAGCGCGTTGTGATCGTTTTGGTATAAGGCACTATGTAAATATAACTGCATTACCATTTAAACAAAATATTTTCTTAGAATTTCTGTCAGAAAGAAATCCTGAGACCAGAAAACCTTATGTAGTTTTTCTAGATCAATCGTTATAGTTTTTTGTGCCGTAAATTTCGGGTACTTGTTCTGTTTAGAAGCAAATGATAATTTAAACTACAAAGAATAACAAGCAACAACGTTGTAAACAATCTGTGAAAAGTTTTGTAAAGGCCTAATCTACAATGTTACTGAATTATTCTGGACATTGTATTATTTTAAGTGTGAATCACTGAAAGCGAAATGCTTGCTGGAGTTTCTGCTTTTTGCGAGCTTGATAAATCAGTAACGGTGAACAATGAAGTGTCCTGTACTGACATTCTTCGCAGAGTATTTGACATTTTATTTGTCAATCCTCTAAACCACGAGCGCCAGATATCTTTACATTCCTTTTGTCTGAAGCAGAATAAATAGAAAATAGCAGCTCCTTGGAACGAGTTGAAGACACAGAAAAGAACCAGAAACGGTAGCTGTGCTGCGTGTTCAAACGCCAAGAATCCAAAAATCCATGTAAGGCCTAGCAGGCTTGAAATAGCTATAGCGTTTAGAACGCGCTTCTTTTTATCATTCCCAGATTTGGCGGCAATCTTTCCTGGAACTGATTCCTGTAGAAATAGCTTCCTGATGACCATTACAAAGATGACGATGTTGCAGAAGATGATTACACTGAATGGTAAAATCACAAAAGCCAAGAGAAGTTTCCCTTTGGAACTGTTAATGTAGCAGCTGAAAATAATAATATTGAAATCATTCAATTTTACATAACCATCGTTCTTCTTTTTCTCGACCCCATCCTTACAAAAAAGTACTTTCATATTATACAAATTTTCATCATAAAACTGACGTCATCATCAGTACTAACACCATCTCCATCATTATCATTATCAACCATTATACTTATTTATAAATATATAATGTGTAGGCTGGTGAGATAAGTCTGGAGGTAAGTTAGGAGTGAGAGTGAGTAAATAAAGAGTAGGCCTTATTATAAACAACACTGCAGTAATACAAACACATTGTTTATACCTAAAGCGATCTATAGTTTATGTGTACCGAAAATAATACTTACTACGTTTCGTTGATGTATAAATCTGATGATGCTATTGACAACACAATAACCAATAACAACGGCGCACCTATTATAAAAATATTAAATTATTAATGATACAAATATTATTTCTAATGGTGTTTTGAATGGCGATACAAATATTATTAGGCATATTTTTCAACAAAAAAGCACCAACTTGTTTACTTGATCATGGATAAGAAAAATTTTATCAAAAACAATAATTACGATAAGTATTTTAATAATAATGTACAGTTATAGAAAATCCATAAAACGCTGCTCTAGAATATGTGGCGTGGTAATTATCAGAGATATAATTGTAATCAAATTTGAATGCCTTTGCCAAAATTTCGCAAACTTTACAACTGCTTTGAAAAAATTAGACATTGTCAGCCTTCTGAAAGAGAGAGCAATTTACTCTAAATTTCGGTCAGAGTGTCCTCGGTCAGAAAGACACCGGCATACTATGAATCCCACTGAACGTAGTGCATATAGTCGTTGCCCAAATGATTTACTGTACCAAAATATAAAAACAAACAAAACGAAAACAATTCAACAATTCCATATTTTATAACGAAATTAAATAATTGTATATTATTTGAATAATGAGATTTAAGTAAATACCCTTTATGATTAAAAAAAAATAACCTGCCATACAAATTATACACCATCACCAATTAAATTAATCTTTATTCAATCCTCGTTTTTGCTTTTGCCATCTGTTTTTTTCTTTCCTTAAATCTCTAGTGCTAAATTTGTGAAACTCTTTATATAACAAGTAATGTGCTACCGTTAAATTTATCTTTTGGTACAGTAATACATAAATATTTTTTTTAATAATGACTGTTGTATTTGCGTATTTTCGGGAAACTGTACTTAACAACCTCACAGACTAAACAATTCAAATAGAGCTGTACTATTTGAATAAGTGGTATTTTTGAAGCAAAGAAATTACGCCAAGTATTTTAAAAACCACATATCTCCTTATTTTGCCAGCTAATGCCTCCTCGCCTAATCCTTGAGCCCTCACTCTTCACCTCGCTGTGAAGAGGGAGGAAATGCCCATTTTATATAGCACAGAGGCCAAACACTTCACATTTTTGCCACACAATAGGACTAAAACTTACCCCAGGCCAGGCATGCAGCTATCCATATGAACTTCCTGCCGGGCAGATTGAAGACTTTAATAAATAAGAAATACATATTGATGGCCTCCACTAACGTCCACGATGCCGATGTTAAAAGGAAGTAATGCACAAGAACCGCTACGGCTGTACACCCACTGTTTCCAGGCTTAGCATGGTCCACGCCCAATATGAACAAGATGTACAAGCATAACAGTGATATACACAAATTGATCATTATCTTTTGTGGTTGACGACTTCTGATGTTTCTGTTGGATAAAACGAGAAAAAATATTATTATTATCATTATTATTATTATTATTATTATTATTATTATTATTATTATTATTATTATTATTGTTATAATCCTTATGGATATGATCATAATTATGTTTCATTATTATCAATTAGGGCCAAGCCTGTCAAGTATTTTTTTATTATTATTATAGTTATTTTTATCGATATCGTTCCCGTTATCTTTATCGCTTAGAAATCTTGTTTATTTGCGCTTTACAAACTGTCTTATTGTTATTATTATCGTTTTCATTATGCCGAAAGCAAATGTTCAGTTGCCCAAGGCCGACCGATCCAAAATATTGAAAATCTAGGCAACAACACATTTTTATTGTACTATTTACTATTATCATAATTAGCAGCATCATCATCGTCATTATCATCATCATCATTTACTGATAAGTGATTCATACTTACTTTGCACTCAGAATGGTAACCAATGTAATAATAAGACAGATTATAGATGTGCTACAGCCGATGATCGTCACCACGTCTAAAAAAGTCTTAACAGGGCTTGGTTTGTTCGTCTGCGGAAACTGTTGTTAAAACAAATTATATTTTAACTAAATCTTTTACATATTATTATATACTACAGAACCAGACTTTAACTATAAATATAATTTTCATATAATATATATAATATATATATATATACTTTATATATATATGT